ATGCATGAGGGAAAGGCCCACCTGGTGTGGAGGAGAAACAAAGTTTTTCCAAGTATAGATGCCTAAGAGGTAATTTTCCTACCAATTCGCTGTATGTGATCTAGACGCTGTGATGAAAGTCTCCCAACTGTGAACACCAGGAGTTTTAGAGAGAGGTTTTCTCTCACCTCCCCAGACACTGGGCGGTGGCATGATCTCAGAGCACCAGCCAGGAATGGCTGCAGACCACACGGCCGCACCACCCACCCAGTTGGACTCAAGGACACAATTTAGAAAATCCCAAGGTGGAGCCTTTTGTTGTTGTATGTGTTGTTTGGTTTTTGTTTTTAAAAACAGAACCCCCTTGGCGTGCCCTCCCAAATGAAATTTAGAGGTGTAGGTGTTGGTTTTACTTTGCTTGGGACCAGAATCTCCTTTTGTAAGTCTATAAAAGCAGAGCTGCTTGGTTTATATGTCCCACCTCTTACCTCCATCCCAAAGCTCATTCCTTTCTTCCCCAAAGATGACTCTGAAACACCTCACAGGGCTGAGAGAACAGCCCAGAGACCTGGGTCCCGAAGTGTGTACCCCCAGAACTTCTCCATCTCTGGATGCCTTCGGAATTTTTTATTTTACCATAGTGTATGAAATACTCTGAGCCCAAAGGGAATTTCTATCACTTTGGAATAGAGGCCAACTACACTGCTCACCACAGCCACGATGCCCCATATGTCCTGGTCCCTGCCCTTCACCCTGTGCCCATCAGCCATGTGGGCCACCCTGTTTTGCTCAAGGACTCCAAGTCCATGGGTCAGGCACCTACCCACCTCAGGACCTTTGCACTTGCTGTCCCTAAGCCTAGAATGTCCCCCACTCTGATTTCTGCACTTCATTCCGATGTCTTTATTTATTTACTTTTATTTATATGTTTTTAGAATTGAAATATAGTTGATTTACAGGGTTTTGTTATTTTCAGACATATAGCATAGTGATTCAGTTATATATGTATATATTCTTTTTCATTGTGGGTTATTACAAGTTATTGAATATAGTTCCCTAGGCTATATAGTAGGTCCTTGTTGTTTATCCATTCAGATGTTTTTAGGTCACACATTACCTCCTCAGAAAGGACTTCCTTCTGTGCCTAAAATAGTTCCACATTTGCTCAAGCCCTTATCACTAGAATTACACTATATAATTGCTGTTGTCTATCTCCCCACTAGACTGTAATCTCCTGAAGGGCCAGGACCTTTGCATCTTGTTCATCTGTATCTCTAGTACCTAGAAACAGTGCCTTGCACCTGCCTGGGGCTTAGCAGGTATTCAGTGAGTGAATATTTAAGTGAACCATAGAACACTGGAAAAAAGAAAATCATCTATAGTCCCACCATCCATACACCACCACTATGAGTATTTTAATGCATTTTTATTTCAAAGGTAATTAACCTTTTGAGGTCACTAGAAATTCTGTAAGATCCAGGGGTACAGTCCTCAAAATGCATAAAAGCGATGCGGAGGGTATAGCTCAAGTGGCAGAGTGTATGCTTAGCTTGCATGAGGTCCTGGGTTCCATCCCCAGTACTTTCTCTAAAAATAAATAAACAGACAAATAAATATAACTTTTAAAAATAAATTACTTCCTCCCCCCCCCAAAAATAAGTTTAAAAATGAAAAAATAAAAAAATGTTTAAATGCATATAAGCACACATTTCCCAAATCTGACACAATCTCATCAGATTTATTATTCCCTGCCACCCTTGGTTAAATTCTTCTTTTACTGAGTACCGCTGTCCCGATGCAAAACACCCACATTAGATTACTGTATTATCTCTGCTAATTTGATTGCTGTAGAATGGCTCTTTAATGTATTTCTGTGATTCCTTGTGAAGCTGATCATTTTTCCACGTTTGATTACTAAATGTGGGTTCTCTTTCATAAATCGTTCAAGTCCTCTGACTGTCTCTTGGAGTGTCCGTTGTATGAGTGCTTTAAATAACGAAAATGTTTATTAAAATGGCATGTAACAAAAAGAAAACAGATTAAGAGCTTGCGGCCCACACGGGCAACGTCTTCCCACGTCTTGTGGACACAGCTGTGGATTCATTTTCCGGTCTTGAGCTTGGGTTGCCACACTGTGAACCTGGAGTAGTTTTAAAATCATTCAGGAAAGCTCACCAATAAAAAGCTACAATAAACTCTCTCCTGACTAATGAAAATAAATGCATGAATCAGAGTTTCCATTTCCTGCTGGGATAAAAGTCTACCTATTGTCTGAAGATAATAAAACAAGAAGAGTTTTGGTTTTGCTGCTGCGGCCAGGCCATGGAGTTAATAAATTCAAAGACACAAAGATGACTTTGTGAAGCAGCACAGCGAAGCACCCAATTCCCTCTTTTTTCCGAGTTGGGTCATTTTCTGCCTAAATTCACTGGCTTCATAGATGTGCTTCCTGCCTGGCCACTTTTGATAAATCTTGAGATATCCCAGAAATCAGATGGAATCTGAGCAGCACAGTTTGGTGCTGCTTTAGTTGAAGGAAATATGATTTCTTTACAGCACAAGGATCCGAAAGAAATGAACATGTCAGAAAGATGTGATTTTTTTTTCCTAATGTGTTCTAGATATATTAAAATGATGAAGATGGATGTTTAAATCCTTTAAATGCCAGTAAAATATACATCGTAGGTAATGCATTTGCTAGGAAAACATAAAAAACCAGTGTTGCGGACATTTCCATCTTTCTACCTAGAAGATCAGGGTTGCCTGGGTGCTTGCACCCTGCTTTGTTGATGAGATTACTGTTGGGCAGACAGGAGAGCAAGTAGGAAAATCATTTGCTGGTGCAAAACATTCAGGGTTTCCTGTGATATAAATGCAGCTGGGGTTACAAGTCTAAAACCAGAAGAGCCTGGAGCATCTGGAAAACCTAAGGCTCACTTGTCAAGTTTTGGGGGCACCTGGAAGTGATTTCAAGGTCTGAAGCCAGGAAAGTGTGGCCGGAGCACACGGACCCCAGATCTCTGTGCCGTATCAACTGAGCTGGACAAGAAGTGTCCTTATAATTACTCTCACCCAGAATTGAAATAAAGGACTCAGTGTGAAGTTGGGACAGTGCAACTTCTTGGTTTAATACTTTACAGATTTTTGGAACTGAATGCACCCTGCAGTGAAAAGCTGCTTTTTTTTTTTTTTTTTTTTTTTTGCTGACCTTGTTGGACGGCTAATACTGTTTCTGGGAAATAAGAGAAACAAGCGGCTCATTGTTGGCAGGAGCTGAGAGAGACCCAAGAAGGGCGAGAGACGTGTCTGCAGCCCTTTTTTCCCCTTCATTGTATCGTGACGGGGTCCAGGCTGGTCGGTAGCTGGGTTTTCCTTCATACCTCTGTAGACATGTGTTTCCCATCAGACAGGGCTGCAGACACCTGTGTGACACATTGGCCAGTCCACATGAGTTAAGCCGTGTACGGCCCATAAACAGAGGAAAAGACCCGCAGCTACACCCAGACACTCTTGATGCTGAAATATTTTTGAAGCTTCATGTGGCTGGGGCCACACGGATGTCAGAAATGACTCACACCTGTATGTTTTGGCTCCACTCTGTCGCATATCATTACGTCCCCAAAGCCGCTGTGGCCAGAAGGGCTAGTAATGCCCAATGGTGGGACCTGTTTTCATGTAAACCTTCCTGAATTACGGAAAATAACGCTTCAAAGTTGTCTTTTTTTGTTTTTTTGAAGGACTGAAGAAGAAAGCCCTACACCATTTTCTCTAAAACCAGATCACATGATATAGGGTGTCATCATAACATGTGATTTGCGTTGATTTTATAAGGAAAATATTTTATAAGGAATAAAGAAATAATGAGATTATTTTAGAAGGAAATAATGAGATTAGTCTACGTTATTCATGAAATAGGGAAAAGGAAACACTTCTCATCCTTGTCACCAGATTTAACTCAGTAAATATTTTTCGACTGCAGGACAGGGAGAGCCAGGATTAGTGGTCAGCGCAGCCGACGCCGGCCAGCCGTGCATCCAGCACATTCCCTGGGCTTCCTGGGTTTGTCCCTGTCTATGCTTGTGATTTGTGCTGAGTCACTGAACCTTCCAAGTTTCTTCATCTCAAAAATGAGTGAATTGGCCTAAGTCATTGGTTTTAAATTGTGTCCCAAGGCTCCACGCCAGGGTTTCAGGGGTTTGTGAGCAGAAGCTAAGCTTTAGTTAGTATCCAGTCTCCAAGAGCTGTTTCTGTTCCACATATTTTAAAACTTTGTTCAATATTTTGACACAAGAGTTGGGAAACGCCTGTAGGGAAAGCAGAATGAAAGCCAGACCGAGAGAATTGAGAGAAGACAGTCGAAGGGGCTGCCCTATGTGCTCAGTGACCCATGGACACCAGCACAGGCCCCAGGGTGCTGTGAATGACCCCTCCCCGCACTTGTGGGTTGTCTGTGTTTCATGCCACATATCAGGCTCTGGTGAAAGATCCTGCTGCTAAAGAAAAGATGGAGAACCCTGGTCGAAATGGACTAAGCCCCTTCCAGCCTGAACTTCTATAGTGATGCTTCATAGTAGGGTAAATACACAGCCGCAGCTGTGATGAGGGTGGTGGGGTGTGTAAACCACTGACAATAAAACAGAAGGATGCAGGGGTCTTGAACAGGGAATATGCTCTGGAAGTAAAGAGAACACAGCAGCAAAAATCAAGTATTCATTAAATATTCACTTTTAAGATTATGGGAGTAATGGTTAAAACGCATCCTCAAGAGGAAGAGAGTTGTCTGTGTGTTGGGAGATGAGGGATTTCCAGTTCGTTCTGATTTTTCTTCTTTATTTTGCTTCTTAAAAAAAAAGTCTATGATGATGATCTTATATATTAAAATGATATTTTACTACCAATTTTTGACCCATAAACCCTGAAGCTTAACTCAGGGAGAATGTATTTTGTGTCTACTATGTGCATCAGCAAGTCAAATCAGATTTGAAATGCGCTAAATTATTTTGTTCTTGTTCTATGTTTAGAAGGAAGATCCATATCGTTGGGGTTGGATCCAAAGGGCTGGGGGAGACTTGGCTCCTTCTCAGGTCTTATTTATAAAGAGCACACATCCAGCCTTCAGGAAGGTGAGCGTTCAGATCACAGGAAGAGAACAGTTCGGTGTTTCTTAAAAGAGCTTCTGTTCAGTGTGTATGGCTTAACCCAGAATCTGGGTTGCAAACTAAACCAAGTGCATGTTTACGAATGATGCAATGCAATGTCATAAATAGTGCTTGATTTCCTTAAAAAGTTACAGCATAAGTGCAGGAGTAATATTCTTTCTCCAATTATCAAGTAGTATGGGTGCAAAAGGACAACCAGTAGTTCTAGTTATCACCCCTGGTTATAACTAGTTATCACCCCTGGAGGACAGGCATGCTGAGAGCTCATCTGGACAGCCTGGCTGTGGTTCTGATTACCAGAGGTTATTTAATACTGGCTCTGGTTCTCTCCGTGAGGGAACTCATTAGGGTGGAAATAGGAAACGTGGGTTCTGCTGCCATGACTTAGGTCTGGGGTCGTGGACGGTCACAGGCTTAGGGTGATCAGCCACCCCGTTTGCCCGGGTCTCTCCCAGATCTAGCCCTCAAAGTCCCGTGTCCCAGGAAACCTCTGAGTTAAACCAGGACGGTTGGCCACCCTCTGTGACGGGCCTCTTTCAGCATTTGTGGAGAGGAGACAGAGAACGGACTGATCAGTAAGCCTCCAGCTGTATCCGTCTGTGATGCGGGGGTGCTTGCCTTGCCCTCATGGGTGTTTAGGTCTCTAGAAGGTGTTTCTGATGAAATTTATATAAATGTATTAGTCCAGACATCAAACCGAGTTAAACACCTGTTCCATCTGGAGGGAAGAAGTTTCCCACACACCAGATCAAGTGAATTACCCAAGGTATGTCTTCGAATGTTGCATATTCCCCTATTTTGAGCAAACTGCAACCAGATTTTCAAAACAAATCAGCCTCTTCAAAGGTCTTCCTCTCAGGGGATGATACTAGATGGATTCTTTGGAACACTTAATGTTGTTTTATCATAGAAGCTGGTAAAGAAAAAAAACCAAGCTAAACTAAAAGAGAGGTTATTTTTAATACATAGAACTGAATTGACAAGATTCTGCTTATCACCTGTGAAAACTGATGTACAAGTTAAACATCTTTGAGATTTTCCTGTTAAATCACCATGTGCTTATGGAGAATTTCAGCAGATATCCTGGCAGTCTTTATGACCCTTGCTTTCCCTGTGTTTTGTTTTGGTGTGTTCTTCTGTTACTTTACGTCTTGAACAGCAGTGGGTAATTCTAGGCACATGAAACCACTTCAGCATCCACAGGCTGCCTGTTTCCTTCTCTGACTCCATGTCCTGCTTAGCTACTTAGTTGACTTTTAAGAGCTTAGCACATAATAGGAACTTTTTAAATGTTAATTCATTTTCAATTCGATTCATAATTGAATACTGCCAAGACATCTGCTGAGATGCAACGGACCAGCATTTCCTAGTATTTCTTCCTCAGGAGAATACTAGTCTTCCAAGTTTGAGAAGGGCTGCATTTTATATCTCCCTCTTGGAGAGTCTCACTGTCTGTTAGTGTATTAAAGGCTCTGGGAAATCGTGCAATAAAATAAATTCTTTTAACTTTGTTTAACTCAATATTTCCCAGTCTTAATGGACCATGGAACACCAGAAGCAGCTATTACAATATTTTAAAATTTTAGCTTAATATCTATTTGCTTCCATGGAACATACCTAGACTGTTTTCTTTTGAATATTTATCCATTTTTATATACTGTATAACATTTATTCATTTTTATATACCCTATAAAAACTAATTAATAGTGAGTATTGAAGAGATAGTGCCCGGCACACTTCTTGGTATTTATTGCTACACACACACACACGGCACATATACACACATTACACACCCACATATACATGTATATATATTTTTTGAACTGTTTTAGATTTACAGAAAAATTGAAGAGTCCCCCAAACGTCTTGTTGTATTAATACCTTACACTGTATGCTATACCCATTATCATAAATGAACCCATATCGATACATTATTAATAACACACACCCATGCTTGATCCCGATTTCCTTAGTGTTTCACCTAATGTCCTTTTCTGTTCCAGGGTGCCCTGCAGAAGACCTCAGTACCTTTACTTGTCATGTCTCCTTAAGCTCTTCTTGGCTGTGGTGGTTTCTGAGACGTTCCTTGTGTTTGATGCCCTGGATAGTTGGGAGGCTGAGGAATTTTGTAGGATTCTCTTCTACTGGAATTTGTCTGATGTTCTTCTCTGACAGGGATGATGGGTCTTAGGGAGGAAGATCACAGAGGTGAAGTGCCATTTGTGTCATCTCCACGGTGACTTACCCCTGTTGATGCTGACTTTGATCACTGGGCTGGTGTACGAGATTCCTCCCCTGTGAAGCTCCTCCCCGCCGCCCCATCCAGTGCTCTTCTCTGTGGGAGGAGACACTATGTACCATCCACGTTTCAGGAGTGGGGATTTCCTCCCTCCCCTTGAGGACAGTGTATCTACGTTAAATTATTTGAAATTTATCTGTACAGATCTGTCTCTTCTCCTGCCATTTATTTTTTATTCAACCATTTGTTTGTATGAGTGTGGACTCATGGATGTTATACGTTGCTTAAACTAATGAATCATAGTCAGCAGCATGTGAAGCTTTCTCCTTTATTGGCAGAGGAGAAGCACGTTTGGGGGAGGGGTCCTGGCGTGCTTGGGGAGGCCCGCCTCACTCATCACATGGAATTGTGCCTCTGACATGCTGAGAAAACTGCATATTTTGCGAAGTTCAACTCAAAGAGCCAGGCATAGAGATACCTCAGCAGAGAAGTTTGTTGTCAAGAGGAGAATGGAGGCTGAGAATACGACAAGAAGTGCATCACTAGCAACATGTATTCCTCTCTGCCCTTTCCAGACTCACGTGTGCATCGGGGAGAAGGATTTGAAAGGAATAACTAATTTCTGTGTCTTTCTAGGGCTTAGGTGTGGCTTCGAGCCATTGGCATGCTGGTTGTCCTTTCCATAATCTGCTCAGAGCCAGCCCCATGCAGGCCCGAGACGGGTTTTGTAGTTAAGCTTAATCTTAGGGTTTTGTTTTCTTCATTTGGCATGTTGTGTGTGTGTGTGTGTGTAACCAAAGTCTATTTTAGAAACGAAGGAAGCAAGCCCAGGACACAGAAAATAAAGCCACTGAACCTCTCCGAGGCCAGAAAGACGTTTGTCAAACATTCCAGGAGGCCCGCTGAGCAGCCTGATTCCCTGGCCTCCCTCCTCGTCTGCCGCTCCTGGCTCGGGGAAGCTGCCAAAGCACTTTGTCTAGGAGCTTTCGCTCTCTGTTCCTGGTGCTGCAAAAGGCAAAAGTTCAGGAGTGAAGCCTCTACCTTTTCCACATCTGCTTCTTATACAACAAGTGATGCGCAGGCTGAGAACCGAGTCCAGGGACCTTCCTGGCCCCGAGCCTACCTGTGGGGCTTATGTGACCGAGTGTGTTGCTGGAACAGGTCAGAGGGAGCCTCAGTGTCCGGGCAGCATTAACCACAGGGTCATGGGCAGTCACCGCCTCTGCCACACCCCATTCCCAGGTTGACTGTTAACTTCACCAAGGACACCATCATTAAATCAAAAGAGTGTTCGTATCTCAGACGCTGAGGAGTTGGTCTTTCTTGGTGTCTTCTTTATATTGAATAATAGAAGGGAAACGTTTCTGGTCACACATCTGCAGAGCGTGGGTATGCAGATTTCCAAACACAGAAGAGAAAGCCAATGACTGAAGAAGGGGAAAAAAAGAAAAAGGAAAGGAGAAGAAAACAATGAAAAAAATAAACATGAATTTAAATGTAAATTCTGGCTCTCTTGGAAGGAAAAAAAGAGAAGTCTCTGCCTTAGTTTTGATGCATTCCTGCTTCAATGAAGAAATCTTCTGTTTGGGTTATTCCTTTCTGTGGGGACTGGCGAAAGTCAAGAACTGACGAGGTCTTTAGCCTTTCTGAGACATTTAATGGCTGTCTGCCCTTAACTAGTTTGGTCTGGATACTGCATTTGAGATACTCTGTCTTTTTTTTTTTTAACTGAACTATTCTCTCCCTAAAACGTTCTGGAATATTATCCCGAGGAGTTTTCTGTTTTTTGCAAGTTGAGATGTGTTCCCTCCTTGTGCTCTCCTGAGGATCTCCTCTCTGTTTCTCTCTGTCTCTGGCCTCCTCTGCCCCTTTATCTCTGAGTAGCGACAAAAGCAGTGATTTTGCAGAACTTCAACCATCAGTGAAGTTCATGAGACTCACCCTATAGAAGGGCCAATGACAGTTTGAGATAAAACAGCTAGAGGAGGCAGAGGCAGGTGTGGTCACGGGCACCTGGAGTGAGTCAGGAAACGGGGCTTCTAGGCTCTGGACGTTTTATGCCCCCGACCAAATTCACTGTTGGTCTGGGTGTCGGTTCCTCACCTCCACAAGGAGGAGGAGTTACACCAGGTAGGCTCTGAACTTTAACAATCTTCACTATATTCTACACCTTATTCGTTGTTTTTCAAATAATTTTGGAGTTAATTCTTTTCACTTCACCAAGAAAATGCTGAGTTTGATGCCTACATGGCCATGTTTTCCTTTTATATTTTTATGTTTTACATCAATAACAAATGCTGAGAGAAAACCTTCAAACGGTCCGGAAGAGGAAAAGGAAGATCTCCTCCCACCCCTGACACCCCGTTTCCTCTTCAGAGGCACCCACTGTTAGAAGTTCCTTGTGTACTTTTCTAGAGAGATTTGTTGTACATGTGTATGTATAATAATGTGCACCCCCACCCCAGCTTTTCCAATTACAAATAGTAGCATGCTAAGACAGAGACTTCTGTTCCTTGGATATTTTCCCCCCTTTCCGAACGTTGTTTCTTAGCGGTTGTTCCATATAAGCACCTACAGGGCTTCTCTGTTCTTTGAAATAGTTACGCAGAATTCCTCTGAATGAAGGAACCATGATCTCTGATTGGTGCATGCTGTTTTCGGTCTTTTGCTGTTATAGACGACACTGCGGTGAATATTCCCATACAGACGTCTCTGTTGGCGTGTGTGCTTTACTTTGAAAACAAAGCCATTGTCTGCGTCCTACTCTTTTCCAGTCTCTACAGTTAATAGTGGGAGATGGTTAGTCTGAGTTTAGTCTCCATGGTCAAATCTAAATTAAGTGGAAGAAAGCAGCATGGTCCCCATTCCCTGCTATGGACGGTCTACTTAAGGGCTGCTGGTGGTGTAAAAACCAGCAAGGGGGTGGTTTTGGAAGAGATCTTCTCCGAGTCTGAAACTCTCCCTGATAAGGATGCAGCCCTCTATAAAACGTGCCGAGCGGTATCTGGACGATGGGTGGAATTGAGCCAACAGAGCCCCTGTGAGCAAACAGACAGGGCTGTCTTCCCAAGGCATGGAAGACGGTCCCCATCCAATTAATTTTTCATGTCAGTAAGTTCCAGACCTGAGTCAATTTTAATACTTTTCAAAGCATCTGAGTTATAAAAATTAACAGAGTTAATAACCTCTGAAATGTTAACAGAAATAATCAACATCCAAGTCTCTTTTTCCTAACCTGGGGATTTCTGGTATTGGAAATACTCAATTTACACATTTGTCTCATGGATACAATTGGGTTTGTTGTTGTTGGTGGTGGTGGTTGGGTTTGGTTTGGTTTGGTTTAGTCTGTAGTAGTTACATCAGAAAAATAGGAGCATACTTTTCAGAAGGTTCAGAAACAACTGTGTCTGGAAATAATCACTATTCATCCATCTAAGCTTCCTTCTCGTGGCCTGAAAGAGGTCTTCTGAACTAAACCCTCCTGGATATCTGGACTTTGTCTTACTTGGATCTGTATTTAAGAGAACTTTTTCCGTGTGACACAGCGTGTGCTCAGTCCCTGACCTCCCACCCAGGCCTTCAGCAGAGCTTGTAATTATCCTCTAACAAGCTGTGGAAATGAAATACTTACGTTATTATTTTGGCATCCGTCATGACTGCTTTTTTCCTGCTCTCAAACTGAGAACATAAGGAATGCCCAGCTGGTTTCATTCCTTTACTGAGCTGCCCCGAGCGCCAGGGCTGGTGCTGGGAGATGAGAGTTCTTGGAGGTGGGCCTGACTCAGGAAGAGAAGCCCAAACTGGACAGAAAACTCCGGGATCTTACTTTCCCCTTGACTAGCCTGTTACTGAGCTGAGTTGTCAACCTGTCCAAACCCTCCTTGCACCCTTCCTGATTGTCACCTTTGCAACCGTTGGGCCAGGGCCCTGTTTTGAGGGCCGGCTGTTCGAGTGGCACTTCCTTGTGCTTGACCGAAGGCTAACTGTGCAGAGAGGGCTGCTCTCAGCTTCTGCAAATGTCCCTGTCTTTCAGGGTCAGGCGGGGCGGAGGGCGGCCAAGGACAGTTCAAAGGACAGGTGGGCGGCCTGCCAGGTGCTTCAGCTTTGGCCCTGGTCCACCTGTTTCTAACCTCACCTCCCTGGGCTTCACATGATAAAAACTCTCCAAGAATCCTGACAAAGCCTGACATTCTCATGTTCCACGGCCAAGTGAAGAAACCCACTCATTCCTTCACATCTTCCTTCTGAAAGCCTGTTGGTTCCTATGAGGGCAGGAGCTATTTATCCAGCTACAGGCCCAGTGCCTGGCACACAGTGGGGAGGCAATAAAGATTTGAGGGAGTTATAAATACATTCTGAAAAAGAGTATTTTTATCCCACCTCTACTCCCATCCAGAGCATGCTCCTGTCATGGAATAAATTCTTCCTTAAGGAAACCAATTCTTCTACAGAAAATCTTCCGTGTTGGTACTGTCTTTTGAGTGTGTGTGTGTGGGAGGGGGTTCTACACATTCACTTAATTCATAGTTGATTAGGCTACTTTAAAATTTATTTGGGGGGGAGGGTACAGCTCAGTGGTAGAGCACATGCTTAGCATGCACGACGTCCTGGGTTCAGTCTCCAGTGCCTCCATTAAAAAAAACAAAACAAAACCTAATAATAAATCAGTAGACCTAATGCCTTCTACCCCCAACAACAATAAAAAAATAATTTGTTTAAGAAAATTTAGTTATAACATGTTTCCACATAATGTCCATAGCAAACCGAAGATCTAAAGTATTTAACTTTGAACTTTAAGTAAAATATGCTAATAATTTTACCTTTTAAAGGTAGTGATACCAAACATGGCAAAAATTGAGAGTTTCTTGCTCAGAAATGAAGTAAGTGTATAAAATTGCACATTGTTGCCCTGGGCCTTAACCTAAGAGCCAATAGACTGATAAATCATGGTTTTCTGTATTACAAGGTAATACCCAGCGAGAAGTTAAGCAAGTTTAACTGGTAGACTGTTTTGAGAAAAACCAGCACTTTTTAAGATGCATATTTTGTGGAAATGTCAATTATAAACTATATTAAAGGATTTAAACTTTTTTTTCTAGAGTGAGGTACGACTGCATGTTAAAATTTTAAATGTTGGGAAATGCAGAAATATAGAATATCCATAAAAAGTTTAAAATGCTTCTAGTGGCTTTATCCAATCACAAATATGGTTAGCATTTAATATAATTTCTTTCTCAGTAATTACTCTCACTGAACGATTGTCTATTTACTCACATATCACTATAAATAAATTCTTGGGGGCACCCTTTTTTAACACAGCTTTGATGGGGACCTGCTTTTGTGTACGTCCCTGATCTAAGTGCAGTGTTTTACGTGTTGTTTGTCAATTCACTCATCCATCCTAGGTGTTATTTTATACCCACCACTTACCAATGATCACCTGCCCTCTTTGGCTCTGCCATAAACATCCAGGTTGTCTGAAGAATTGCACATACACTCAGATGTCCTGGTGACATGATCTCTTATGTTGTGGAATTTACTTGTGACCACTATGTTCTATGAAAGGTTCAAAATGTACTCTAGACACAGGGAAGGTGTGAAATAAGATTTTTAACAAGGTGTAAAAGCTGAGACTGGATGAGTCAAGATCGGCATAAATTGAATTAAGGTAATAATTACTTAAACAGTAATGATTAACAGGAAAGTACTTGAGAAGGAATCTCAGGAATCTATACTCTAAAGCACAGAGCATTCTGACGATCTCTTTTTGATAAGGTGCCGTGGTCCCTGGTCCGTAATCTCCCCATTTGCTTCCCTCCTGCAGTGATGAATCACCAGCACCAGCAGCAGATGGCACCCAGTTCCCTGAGCCAGCAGAACCACCCTGCTCAGAACCCACCAGCCGGGCTCATGAGTCTGCCCAACGCGCTGACCACCCAGCAGCAGCAGCAGCAGAAACTTCGACTTCAGAGGATCCAGATGGAGAGAGAGAGGATTCGAATGCGCCAAGAGGAGCTCATGAGGCAGGTATGGCCTTCAGTGGTACCTGGTGGTGACTTTGTGGCCGTTGGTGCAAGGCTAGTGGGTAGGTAGCTACTTGCCATCAGAGTAAATCTTTGTCTAGAAGCACTGAAGGCCCAAAGCCCTGTCCCACACTTCACGAGCAGGATCTAGTTTCTTTTAGCATCTGCTTGAACTGTGTTGAGAGCCAGACTCATGAGTACAAGGCCTAGCTGTGTCAGCATGGCTGCCTTTGCCTGTCTCTGCTCGTGATTAGGAGGAGAGGAAGAATACATTACAATTATTTATTACTGTGTATTACATTACCCCAGACCTTGGTGACTTAAAACAACAGTCATTTGATTATAGCATGCAGTTTTGCCATCAGGAATTGAGGCGGGGCTCAACTGGACTGTTCTTCTGCTGTACGTGGTATTGACTGAGGTCACTTAATGGTGTTCAGCTGGTGGGGGGGCTGGCCCAGAGGCTCCAAGATGTGTTTACTCAAGTGTGTGGCACCATGACAAGGATTGCTAGAAGACTGGGCTCGGCTGGGACTGAAACCTAGAGCATTTGTCCACGGCAGCTCTAGCATGGCAATCTCAGCTCAGTGGGACAGACTGCATAGCAGCTGGGGTCTCCCCATGAGAATACTCTAAGGGACAGGAATTGGAAGCTGCCAGTGTCTTAGGGCCTGGCTCTGGAAACTGCCACAGAGTCACTTCTTCCATGTTCTTTGTCACAGAGCCACCCCCATACCACTGCTTGCCCCCACCCCCCACCCCCCGTAGAGCAGATAGCAGAGGGGATGTTCCAGGGAAGAAATGACTAAGGATCTGCAGCCATCCTTGATCCGCCATGGAACATGAAAAAAGTTAGAGAAAACTGGGGGAGAATGAGAAAGGAAAATTTCTGCAAATGGACCCTGTTAAAGTGGTCTGCAAAACGGCCTGGCTTTGGTCAGGCACCTTGGTGCCATGTTCCACTCATTCATTTATTCATTCCATCAGTCAGTCAACAGAATGTGTGTCCTCTGTGGGTCAGTCTCCAGGCCACATTTTCAAAAAATGAATCAAAGAGAATCCCTGAAGGAACCCACAATTTTCTCCTTGCTTCAAAGGTTTGTCTTTGCAAGAGCAGAATTCTCTTCTGTGTTGCTATACTAACGTAGCACATGTTTTCAGGTCTCGTTAATTTTGCTGGCTACATTTTTGGGGAGGAAGCCTTCAGTTTATTGTTCTAATTCTTCAGACTTTGCTTTGTAACTCACGTTGAAGCAGGATACATGGGTAGCTTCCTTTTGCTAGTTTAAGGAAATAAGTACTTAATGCTTTCTTGCAGGGGGCTGGGGGAATTAGGATAAACACTGTTTTTTCTTTTAGTTATATCTGATACTTTAAAAAATACGCATTGAGTGCCATGGGTAAATAATGTATTTTTCATCAAATAAATTCTGAGATACAAAGTATCTATACATGTGAAGTTAAAAGAATTCCTTAGACATAGTCTTTGAAAATGAAGGAAATGAGTGTAAACTGTGCTTTGTTGTTCTGTTGAACTATCCTCTAAATTTGAGGAATACAACTTTGTAATACAACCATCGTTGTGCTTTTTACCCGAAGGATTTATGTCTGAACTTTCATGGTTATTTCAGGGTAACAGCTGTTTATACTGTTTTTAGATATACAGTATCCTGTTTCTTAGCAGGAAGTAATTGTATTTTTGTTTTCTGTCTTTGGATAATAATTCTGTTTGGAAAAATTTATCTATCTTATAATATAGAGTAAATTAGACAGTATTACAGTAGCATTTATAAGTTTTCTCTTAGTTTTATATCTAAATGAACGTAAATGAGGTTTTTTTTCCACAAAGCTATAACTATTCTGCAAAAAAATGACTTGTTTCTCAGTAGTGCCTCTTTCTGTGTTTCTCTTTCTCCTGCCCCGCCTCCTTCTTTCCCACAGAAAGTATTTCTGAAAAGGGGTGGAGAAAAGGGCCCCAAATTGTTTCCTTTATTCCAACCATAGGTGCCTTTGAACCAGAATGTTAGTATTGATGGTTCATATTACAGAAATACCAACCAAGTTCCATAAATGCCAATCCCTAGCGGCTGTGGAACTTGGAGCATTTTGCTGCATCATAGCATCAATTCCACTGTATAGAATCTCGAGGAGAAATGTTGCTCAGGTTTGTTCACAGGGGCTCACACAGCTCAGCTTTGACTGTGTGTGTGTGTGTGTATGTGTGTTCGTGTGTAGTTAGAGGAGGAGAAGGAGATGGGATGAATGGCTCTAATGTCTTTTAATTTTTATTACAGAGTACAGAAAAGGTACAGGAGTACCTTTGTCTGAAGAGACTTTCTTTTAATCATGGAAGATTCCCCCCCCCCCCCCCACTTCCAGAAGCAGCTTGCTCCTCAGGGTCAGAGATGTTTTTTAGGGCCATACAATAAGTGGGGTTGGAGTGTTTGATGACAGTGTTCTGGGGCATTTGCCAAGATGTCTGATTGTTCAGGTGTGGATTATGTGTGTCACCTTAGTGTTTTTTCTTCTTTTGGGTTTTTTTTTAAACTTCTTTCTTTTAGTGATTTGCACTTAAGCCAGGGCAGGGGTAGGGAAATGGACTGGAAGTAAACCTGGTATTTGGCTCACCTTTCAGCACCTGGTAGGAATGGATGTGTAGGGATGGAGGCCATGGTGGCCCCGATGAGGTCTGAAGACTCTCCATCCCATTTGTTCTTTCTGTCCTGCTCCCTGTTCCAGATGGCCAGCCACTGCCTGAATATCCTTTGCTCTCTGGACAATTTGCCATCACCCTGGCCTTCCTCTAGTTTGCAGGAGGGCCCCAACTGTGCAGCCTGTCCTCTCAGAGTCCCTGCCCTGACCTCCCTCTCAAGGGAGAACTTCTGGGAGAGAGGCCCCTTCCTATACTCCATCTCTGTAGCAGGGAGGGAGGTTGGTAAAATTCAACAGGTAGATGAATTTATTCCCTAATTCTTGGGAAATCGTCACCACTCTGGATACTTTTATCACTCTTAGATATGTGGTAAATGTGAAAGCTCCTTATAAGTTATACGCTATGTAAGTATTTGGTTTTATTTCTCCTCCTCCTTCTTTCTGCTTCCATGCCGTTATTCCTCTGGGCATGTGGTCTGATGATGCTGGATGTCGTGCTGCGGAGAAAACAACTCCTCAGTCCTTGTTCCACGATCTGACATCTGCCTCACGATGCCAAGGGCTCAGATGTTAACTCATTAACTCAGATGTTAACAAAACGGACTTGAGGAAGGTCTGATTACAGATCTGAAGGGAACCTCCATTATTTTAGGATACAAAATTTTTTTTTTCATTCCTTCCTTTATCTCCTCATTTGTTTCTGTACCAAATATTTATGTCGTGGGAAGTAATAAAAAGAAAACTGGGGCATGGCTGCTTTCAGATAACTTACATGTTAGCAGAGGGGACAAAAATAATTAAACTGAGTCCAAATAAGTGGTCAGAAGGATAAATTCAAACCATTCCTGACTTCGTCGTGTCCCAGCAGCTGCCATCTCTGGAGTGGAGACCAGATGCACCCGAGCCCAGAGTTCTGTGCAAATGAGCATCAGGTGCTTCCTACTTTCCAGTGGCCCCTGAGGCCAACAAGCTGTTGAAAAGGTAGAGAATCAGAAACGAAGGGCCAGTGAGGTTTGGCCCTCTGAAGTGGGAGAGTTTGGTTAAAAACGGTTGCTACAGTTGACCATCAGCTGCTGTAGCAACAGAGTTGAACTACTTGTAGCCGATAATTGATGTACTACCTCAGATGTGGCCGGTGCTCCAACGGCAGGGGTGCCCCGAGCAAGGGGATCCCAGCCAGGCCTGCAGCACGCAGCCTTGTTAGGAAAGTGGCACTTTCCCTGCTTTCAACAGCTACCACAGGCGTTCTGGGGAGCACGTTTTCGTGAAAGACGTTTTCCACTGTCCCTGATAATGAGAGTTTAATTTTTGCTGAACTTCCCAAAAGGCTGTGAAGCAGTTTCAGGTTTATCTAAGGAATACTGACCCTAGAAAAGAAAGCAGGTCACAGCTGAAAACGTCCTTCCTGGCATCTTCATATTAAAGAAAAAAGGATTAGAATTCAGTTTGTAAAGTTAAAGCAGAAAAGTTCTTAACTTTTTTTATAGATAGTATTATTTTTTTAAATTTATTTTTATTTTTCTTAATGGAGGTGCTGGGGATTGAACCTCATGGGTGCTAAGCATATGCTCTACCATTGAACTATAGCCAGCTCTCTTAACTTTTAAAAATATAATTTATTCATTTATTTTTTCTGCTTGAGATAAAAGAAAGCATTTTGCTAACTGAGAGAATCCAGACTCAAAAAGACTTCATAATGTATGCTTCCGTTTGTATGCCCTTCTGGAAAAGGCAAAACTATAGAGACAGAGAACAGATGAGTGGGGGTGGGGCTGCCTACAAAGGGGGGCACCAGGGAATTTTAGGGGGCAATGGCGCGATTTTGAGTCTTGATTGGGGTGGCTGTTTCACAAATGCATTTTGTATTTGCCAAAACTCAGAACTGTACAGTTTCACAAAGAGTGAATTTGACTGTAGGTAAGTAAAAATAATAAAATTATCACACACATTCATCATAGAAATTGTTTAAAATAATCAAAAATGCAGAAGGACGTAATCATCACTCATCTTCTTACCTAAAGAGAGCAGCTGTGAAGATGCTGGTGATTTCTTCCCGGTCTTTGTATGCATCTGTGTGTATTTTGGTTTTTTTTTTAAACCAAAGGTGGTATATTTTACTACTGTTTGTTATCTCTCTCTCTTTTTTTAATACATTGAGAAGCCATTTATTTACTCTGCATCAGCCGTGAAAGTTGTGCTGTGAGTTTGGACGTATCGCTTCTAAGCTGCCTGGAGTCCTTTCCATTACACGGCTGGGCACATACTGTAAAATACCATGAGCCACACATGCCCACAAGATTATAGAATTTTCTGCTGTTACAGCTTAAAAATCGCACAATATTTGCTCAGTAT